TTCATACTCTGTTTGGCTAATAGAGCTGGAAGAATTTGCACGAAGGATATGCTGGTTTAAGAAATACAAAATTGCGGAATATCTTCATGGTGAAATCTGTGATGCAACAAAAAGTGGCGTTTCCGAAGAGAACAATTGCTGAGAAAATGTCTGTGTATATTTCTTTAACATTTAAAGGTGATACGTTGGCAGAGATTCTGCATAGAAGGTTATCAAGTGCCATCAACAAAACGTTCTACGCGGCTAAGCTTCAAACTCGATTCCCATCTAGTCCGCCGATGTATCTACGGTTGAAGGATAGAGCGCCCGCTTCTGCTACCTCTTTCCGTATTTACCTGTGGAACAAAGTATGTTGGCCGCACGACCAGGCGTCTGTCCGAGCGCATCCGTGGGCACCAACTTGCGTGGTTGCGAAGTGGAGCAATTAAGTCACAAGTGCGGTTGTGTCGCACCTTGTCGTCACTAATCGCATTTTAAACGTGATTCAAACGTTCCAACCTTGTATAGAGTTAAAACGCGGCGGTCTAGACACGTGCGGTTTCGCATTCGAGCCACAGCGGAGGCAGTTTCCATCCGTCTTCAACACCTCCATCTGTGTGACCATAAACAATTTGTGCAAGCACTCAAGCTCCCACGGTCGGATTGCTGACAAGTGGCCTGTCATGCAACATCTGAGCAAATGACGATTGAGGTTCAGTTATGAAACCAATTGTTGAATACTTTAATTACTTTCCCGTCTTCTTATAAATCCTTCTCTGTTAGTAATTATATTTATTGTGTTGTAATGGCATAATTAAGACAGACTGAAAACGAGCTTGTTTGCCAATTTGTGTTCTCATTACTAGCTCCGTTGGACTGTTTAAACAAAAGTGAGGTTTCAGATTATCAAGCTTGTATTAGCCCACTCGATTGTTCAGAGGTAACAGGCACTCTTGGTGGTCTTCGATATGGGTTTGAAATCCCGACTCGACTGATCGCGGTTCGAGTACTGATATGGATACAAAACGTACGCACTGCTGACGAGTCCCAAACAGAACGAAGCAGCTGTCCAGTGCTCTTTATCGATTGTCCCAAACATTTCCATCATAATTGAGGTTTATTTGCTTTTAAACTAGCTATAGCTCGATTCACCGCCTAATTCTATCAATGTTTCAACACACTACAAAAATTGTCTTTATAATTGCATAATCGTGCTCATTTCTTTCGTTGCGGTAACACCTAAGTGAACAACAGGCCTGTCAAAAAATGTTTTCACCAAATTTGTTCTGTAGCATTCTGAGGTTTAGTCACCACACTTATGAGACCTGTTCTACCCCACCGGTTGCGGAAACTCTGAGCTGAATTGTCAGGTTGATTAGTTGCGTCTCTCCGTACATTAGTCTCTGATGGTTAGACCATGCAATGTTTCTGCCTCCTCTGTGAGTCACGTTGAGTTGGTTTACTTTTAGCACGCTGTTGGTTCGCGACCCCTTGATGAAGGATGATTTTGCACTGTGGACAGTTTCGTGCATCCGTGATGAAGTGCTAACAACTATCCCACTGTCTACTCGCTGTTACTATAGAAGAATTTTTATCCAACGTTTATTGTAAAAAGTCCGCTAGAATCATTTGATCGCGACTCCATTAATAGATTGGTGCAAATAAATGATAGTTGTACAGGAATAGACATGCACATGTAAGACTGTTACTTCTTTTGGATACGGTTGTAGATAGTTTGCGTGGTTCCTCGGTCCGTAACATTGATGAATACATATTACATATTCAGAAGAGTTGGACATGTTTTTTTAAATTTTCCAGTAATTCAGCAAGTTTCTGTCTCCAGATGTACGTTTGATTTGAAGGGTGAATAAAAATACTTTCATTAGCTGTTAACTCATTCTATTTTGCTAACGAGTTCGGAATATCGATGTGTGAATAAGCCAGATATTTTGNTTCCGTAAGATATATTACTTGCGCTAAGTTGCAAGTCATTGAACAAGTTTCCATCAAACCACTGTTAGCTTCACAGGTGAGCGCTGACTCACTTTGAGCTTAACGCAGTGCTTACATTATTGTTATTCACAAACGAAACTGAGAGGAAGCTGAAGACTCGTTGATTCAAATCACTATTACACACAGTGAGCCGATTGCAGAAAATGATCCTTCAAGAATGGTGGAAACATTTCTGTCTATTTGCTGACATACTAAACCAGCCATTTTCGAGGAATCCATTATCAGCTCTCTCGTTCACCGTATAAATTAGGATCCCCGCATTGTAATATTTCAGTCGTTTTCTGTGCAGTTGACAATGCGCATTGTTCACGAAATCGTGGCACTCAGACCGTTTGCATTTAACACGGTCCCATTGCAAATGGGACCATGCTCACGACTGTTTGA